TTTTTTGTAAAAACACATTGAAAGTATTTCATAATAACTTAAATGTCACATTTAAGAGCTCTAGCTCTAAAAACATGGCAAGATTTAGTTATTTTCGCTTTATTTAATTTATATTCTATTTTCTCATTTTCATTTTCCAACTGTTAAACTATAGCCCCCAATAGGCAAGGTCAAATAAAGATAAAATAAAGATAAAATAATAGAAATAAAGAGAATTTTCGATATGCTACGCCCCAAAAGAATCGTCATATATCTTTTCAGATCATCCATAGAGCAGCGCAGCGAATTGTATTAAGTTCCGAATCGAATATGTCAGCATCCAGCTTTAGAGTATATCTTTTGCACTCTGCCACGCCCCCTATAGTCCTATATGAGATACAAATTGCAAATCTCTAGCAGTATTTATGTTGACATGCCCACTTCCTTTACATATATAGAGCATATGGTATATATGGTATATATATATGCATTTCTCACGAACTATCGCGTGTCACGCAACCATCTCTAGCTCGAAAACTGCACACTCGAGTGCAAATCGAATTAAGCAACAATTTGTACCACAAACTCGATATGATTGTTATTGCTATTATTATTACTATTATTATTATTATTATTATTATTACTTCTACTGTTATTATTAGTTTTATTATTAAGTCCTATGCACATCGTGTTGCGTGTCACGCGTCCATTTCTATTGCATGCAGTCGGCTGAGCCGCTTTGCGGTTGCTTCGCATAGGTCACGTGTTTTGTGTTTTCGGTTTTTTCGTGTGCCACAGTCAAATATCAGCAATTGAACTATAGACATTTTGGCCAAATCCAGCAAACGGCCGCAAATGCCGCGCTCTTTTTCTTTTTTTTTTTTTCGGGGAGAAATAGCCGAAGCGGGGAGCTACCAGAGCTGCTTTCATGTCTTGCCACATTGTTGCTGCTGTTGTTGTTGTTGCTGTTGTTGCTGTTGGCGCATCTTGCAAGCGTCGCACTAAATGTCAACTGCAAATGCAAAAAGCCACGCGGGCTGCCCAGCAACAACAACAACAAAGAAGCTGCCACCTGCTCAACTTTCAGGTGTTTTCCAAGTTGACTTTTTATACAACGCAGTGCGCCTAGAAAAATGGGTCTGCCAAAGTGGGGTATGATGATTGGGGCATATAACGTATATATTATATACATATGTATATTATGTACATTTTTTTTCTTTTAGTCATAAATTATATATACATATAAACCTGATTCCTATCTCATATTTATTCTGTATATCGAATTTTATCTTTAGGATAAAACAATTTCTTTTTTTTTATTTCCCAA